ACTATTCCCTTTACTTTCGCAAACTGGTGTTTAATTACACTGGAGTCCAGTCAGCAGGGTGTTCTGTCATATATCTTTGAAATCAAGTCTCCAGCAATAACGTCTCTTTAGGTGAATATTGATAGCTCGCATGATTGTATCGCCAATGCAACTATACTATTGTTACCATAGAGGTTTTGAGGTATAGATACCCGATTCTACCGGCAATAGCGTATTCACGTCCTTAGTACAACGAACCCCGTTTATACAACAGTCCTGTTCTTTGTAAAACTGTCTTGACACGTCTTTACTGAGTTGGCTAAGTTCGTTGAGATATGGATACCCGAATATACCTGCAATAGAGTATACACGTACTTACTACAACGAACCTTTTAAAACGGCAGTCGTGTCCTTTGTAAAACCGTCCTGATTGACCCGTCTTTACCCATCATATCCATAAAGAAACACGATAATTTATCCTACAACTAACGTTTATTTGCCAGGGTGCCGTTGTACAAAGCGATCTTAGAGCTAAGGTGACCGTAACTCCCATACCTTAACATAGACTTAAGGTAGCCTTATGTAGTCATATGAAAAGTGGATCTTCTCTAACGTTTTTCAGGAGTATACAACACAAAGCCTTTTGCTTCGGTAAACGCATTATCGAAAATTATTATGTAGCTCTTGTGTGAGGACCTGACCCCCCACCCTCTTCCCACCAATTTGAACGTAAAAAACCCAACTGAATTTGTGCGAGGAAACCATTAAGGTGTGCATAGAACGTCTTAATTGCAATAGATGCAATGTTTCGTCATCATACCAGCATTTACATGCTACTTAAAGAAAGAAAAACAAATTTCTGTTACTGAGATATATGCATGTACATGTAGCTAGAGTTAGATGTACACCCCAAAATCTAATTCTTCTGTCACGGTAAAGTTCCCCATTAAATGATTGACACAGGGGGCCTGTTTGTTTCCACGCTTCACTTGAAATGAAAAGCTGTCTTTTTGCGAAGTAAATATAGTTTGAAACTCACACCTTCCCGTGGAAAATTACCGACTTTGTGACAACGATTACCTGAATAGGATCTCGTCATTGTATCGACGTGCCCAGCGGTGTTTGTCGTTACTGTATAAACAAAATGCAAAATGCAGCCTTGGCGACCCGAAGAGGGCCAAGGGCGTCTTTGTTCTCGATGCCATACAACAATAGCGAATTTAATGCCAGTTTGAGGCTTGTTGTGGCGTGTCCCCAGTCTCATTTATCTATCTTATCTTAGACACGTATTTCAATTTAAAGTTAACTTTAACCATTTCAAAGCTAAGTAAATATACGAGTGTGGTATTTGCTGTAAATGATCTCTGAGTGAGTGAGTGAGTGAGTGAGTGAGTGAGTGAGTCCGTTTTGGAATAATTCACCAGAAAATACATTAATACCTAATCTCTGAAACAAACATATTTTACAGCAGAATAAGACTTGTCAAGTTATCTCCAGAAAATGCAATGAAAAAGACCCTCGGCACTTTCATCTTTTAAACTACATTAATGTACACGCGGCAAATATATAGACATCAAGGAGAAATTGGCTTCACACATTGTACCCATCCGAAGAATCGAACCGGGTATTTGGCGTGACGAGCGAACGCTTTACTAGTACTAGTTTAACCTTCCGCCCGGGCGCTTTAGTAGATTGTATATGTCACACATAACACATAGACCCTTTCTGATGTTATACCTTCGTAACCAATGTATTGTAAGGGTGATGGTATTTAGAACGACGAACCCTCGCTATTTAGGTTTCCCCTACCACGGATTATACTGCATGGACGATTTCTTCACATGCGCGCTCCATCCCACCAAGCCCACCCCCGTGGAAGTCCGGATTAGGAAGGGTCATCAGCAACACATGATTGAAAGGCGACTAACGATAGTTTGACTCAATCGCAGACATGGTTGATGCATGTCATCGTATTCCAAGAGCGTGGATCGATGCTCATGACATCAATCATTGGATTGTCTTGACCAGAATCGCTTATTGACAAACCACCAGCCGATACATTATAGGACAGACAGACAGACAGACAGACAGATAGATAGATAGATAGATCAGATCATAATATATAGAAAGGGGCCACTAAAACACAGTCCGAATTAACGGGGTCTCTCACGCTACGATGACGCCATACAATTTATAAGGGTTAAGTTAGTCGCCTACAGACAGTTACATGGGTCTTGTTTTGGCATGTTACTTCCTATGTCAGTGCTATGGTAACTGGGACCGATAATGATCTCTTACACTTGCATGCAACTACACAGTTAAACATATAAACATAATCAGTGGTATCTATGTACCGCTGTTGTTCCAAAAGGCATCTGAGGTAACCATAGCAACGGCATATACATATACAGAATCAAAATATTTATAAGAACAAAGAAGGCATTGAATACGTATTTGATTGGTTTAAGCTAGTGCATGTTTTCGTTCGTTTTCTGTCAAAACGTGATTACGGCGAACTTTAGCTAGTGAAATGTCTGTTACGAATCCTAGTTGTGGGGAAGTGTCATTTGAACAAAGTGAGTGAGTGCGTTTAGTTTTATGTCGCTTTTAGCAATATTCCAACGGTATCACGGCGGGGACACCAGAAACGGTCTTCACACATTGTAGCCATTAGGCTACCCCATCGCCCCATATTTGAACAAAGACCTCCCTTAAACAAATTCTCCGGATTGGAGGTTTCCACATTAACGGGGCCGCACTTACGACTGTTCACTGTCGTTTAACAGTACTATAAGGCACGAAAATATAATAATCACTTTAAAATGGTTGCCTTGAAGTCATGGAAAAGATCCTGGAACAGCTAAATCACCCCAAATCTTCACTTCAACGTTCGGTCTCTCAGTATGATAGTGCGTCGGTGTGCTTTCACGGATAGTCCTGTTTCCTACTTTGCATATTCAGTTAATGCTCGAAAACACGATAACGCACACCTATACAAATGCCCTACTGTTCATCTGAGATCTTTCATTCTGCAGAACTCTCTGATTACATTACAAAACCAACTGATTGCATCCAATTAGAACCATTTAATCATAGCTAAATAGAACGCATTGGTTTTGGAGGAATTTGTGTCACAATATAATTACCATATCCCTGCGATGCTAGTATATCATTCGAGCTCAACGCTTTCGAGTTTCTACAAAACGATCGCAGTGCTACGATATCGCAATTCCCGTAAGACTTACGGCTGTCTTAGAGCATCGAAACCCGTGAAGGTCCGGGTTAGAATGAACCTTCAGTCACACGATACGGGCTTAAAAGCGTATGACACATGTCATAGAGTTGAACCTAATGTCACATGTGGGCTGTAGTACTAGCGTGACGCACAGTTCCACATTACACTTTGTACCTCTTCCCAGAATATGAACTCATACTAAAGACAACCACAAACATGTCAACCTTCCATAAATTATACATAATAAAGTAAACATGGTTGTCTCGAACTTTCATATGTGGAACGCACGGTTGTCTCGAAGTATCACACCCGTGAAGGTCCGGGTTAGAATTGATCTTCAGTAACCCATGCGTGTCGTAAGAATCGACTAACGGGATCGGGTGGTCAGGCTCGCTGACTTGGCTGACACATGTCATCGGTTCCCAATTGCGCAGGCCAATGCTCATGCTGTTGATCACTGGATTGTTTGATCCAGACTTGATTATTTACAGACCGCCGCCATATAGCTGGGATAGTGCTGAGTTCACCACCACCACCATCATCATCATCATCATCATCATCATCATCATCATCATCAGGCAAACGTGTGTAACAGGGCCCATGGTCGTACGTTAATTTTCAGAAATAGCCTTTTTCCGCATCAGGTATCAACTTCAGGGATTAATATGAAACCCCAAACGTTTTTTTATACACATGAAATCGCATATCATTTGAATGCTGTGCTTATTCTGAACGAATTACATCTGTATATGACACATGGCTCAGCTAGTCTGTCATGTAATTCAGTGGATGCGAGCGTTGGCTGTAACACCCCTTCTAAAAGTGTTCCATTTATAACACCTTCATATTGGAAGACAGCCTAAGGAGATAAACAATCTCCCTGTTTGTCAAAGGTTTGGTGCTGACAAACCTAGAAACAGGATTCGAACACACGACAAAAAGTGTCTGGCATGCTGGGCCTTATACGACCAGGTGACCTGCGCTGCCACACCACTTCAAGACCAACCCCCACAACCCCGACCCCCGACCCCAACCCCGACCTCACGCCGCTACCATCCCCATCGTCTCCGCGCTGCCGCACCTCAACACACAACCTCTGCAATATTGTAACGTAACCGACTATCACATCAATTCCCACATATGTGGAGACTCCCCGTGGTGTAGTGGGTAGGGCTTCTTCCATCCTCTGTTCTAGCCCCGGTTTCCTCAATCTTAAACAGACCCGTAAAGGTCCAGGTTAGAACTGATCTTCAGTAACCCATGCTTGTCGTAAGAGGCGACTAACGGGATCGGGTGGTCAGGCTCGCTGACTTGGTTGACACATGTCATCGTATCCCAATTGCGTCGATGCGCATGGTGTTGATCACTGGATTGTCTGGTCCAGACTTGATTATTTACAAACCGCCGCCATATAGCTGGAATATTGCTGAGGTCGGCGTAAAACTAAACTCATCTAAAACACATTAAATGGTTGCATTTTATTGCCCTCACGATTACCGCTGCACATAAGGACATGAAAACAAGGATTGGTCGGGGTCTGCATACTGTGTCAGAGTCCGATACCCATGTTAAACTGCAGCTAGTATTTCAGGAAACAGGCCCCATATCACCGACATAAGTCTTGACTAACATCAGTCTGCACACACGCTATGCTGTACCGGATATCACCTCGCTTCATGACATGTCATTCCTAGCCTTTGCATAAACATGTATTCTTAAGTTGTACGATTATTGAGTTGGCTGTAACAGGCTAAAATTAGTACGCGTTATCTGATGACTTGAATGGAAGAGGAAAACCCAGTTACGTGGAGCTGTGTATATTAGCCAGCCTTGTTCCTTGTCCGCACTCACTCGTGGCCTGCGATGGTATAAACACTCGGCCAGCTACCACTGTTAGTAGCTGCACTCGCTACTTCTCTGAGCTATTGTCGGGTAAGTTTGCTGTTTATTTTATCCTACCTTGTGAAAGGCTATGGGTATGTTAAGCATTGATTTAGTTACAAATAACGTTACATTTGTTTAATGATATCCTTTGTTCAAAATGCCAGTGCAGCTGTCGCGTCATGTGGCACGGTGTTTGTTTCAACATTAAGTGCTTTTGTGTTTTGAATAGTTGATATATTAAAACGTTCTGGCATCAAATATTTCTTTCTGTTTGAACTCTTCACAGAACACTGTGAGCGTCCTTTTAGTAACCCAGAAAAATACATGATGAAAAGTATTTTTGGAAGTTTGGTTAGATTGATATGATCAACAGCGGACAGATATTGACTGAAAGAAAACATAATTTTTCTCTTCCTGTTTGAGGGTTCCATGATATCAGATTTTCATTTTCCTTATTATTGTGAACTTTTGAACTCAGATCATCGTTAGCATAAATGATTCAGAAATATTTTTTCCCTGGAAATTGAACTATACTGTCCACTCTTTGCTAAGGATCAAATCATTGATTGAACCGAAACTATGATGGGGGTCTAATTTGGTTTAAATAACTGAGCTTATTGTAAGCATGAATCCTAGGTTTCGGTATGTCACTGCATCTTGTGGATCCCATACCTGCTATTGCCAGGTGTTGTGTACTTGTCAATTACCCGTGCCATGATTTGCAAAATGGTTGATTGGTGCCATGAAAACCATTTTTATGGTTACTCATGTATCAACTGCATAAGGTTAGATTAAAAGGGCTGTTTGCCTAAAGAAGGGTTACCATATTATTATTGATCCAGTTTTAAATGGATACAATTTGAAATTATAAATCTATGTTTAAGTAAAGTTGGGAATGTTTGTGATCCTTAGCAAAGTGTGAGTAGTATATTTAGATTACAGACAATCTATTTGGGTGTTTGAATAAAAAATATATTCAATCATACATTATCTATTGCAGATGTATAAGAATGTCGTCCCTCGTTGAAAATCGTGCCGCTTTGGGACGCAAAAACAGCTGCAAGGCTCTTCATTTCCGAGACTGTTCATGGCGAAAGTCTGATCGATGGAAGCTATACAAGGGCTATACAGGTGGCGTCAATGGCGAGATGACAACGTTATGTATTAAAGTATACAGGGACGGTTACTTCGATGAAGCGTACTGTGATGACATCATTGAAATGTATCAGAGCATCCAGAAGTTGGCAGAGAAGTTCAACCAGCTGCAAGGAAGAGATGCACTGAAAATAAGAGTCATTGTTCCCCAGAAAGCTGTCATTGATAAAACTGCTGCCTTCCATAATCTGAAAGGGAGAAGGAGACTGCTGAGCAGAGATGAATGGGTTCTGGTGTATGAGAAGATAGACAGGATGAAGGCATTTGTATCTAAGGAAGGTGAAAGCCGTTGCGCTGATGGCATAATGGACGCATTCGTTCATTTCACGTTTCAAGAAACGAATGGGGAACTCATCGTGAGCAAGCTACGTGGATCGAAATCGAAAGAGGGATGTGTGCTGTCTTGCCCACGCGTTCATTACGAGGAGGACGTTATTAGGAAGGTTCTTTCCAACCACACATGTAACGACATTTGCAGAAACTACAGAACGCTGCCAGTCCCAACAGTAACTGATTGTGTTGATACTCCTTTGATGCCATCAGCACCTCCTCTTTGTGTAGACTCCGACAGTGAAGATGACGTGTTCCAGCCACCTTGTTCCCCGAGTGAGGAGGACCTCCAGTTCAAGTTGCACCTGGACAATATGAACCAGTACCGTGCTGTTCCATATGACACTCGAAACCCTCTCTTCTATGATCACAATGGTCATGGCATTTCACTGCCACCTCCGTACTCATCCACTTGTCCTGATGGACACAAAGTGTCCATATCTGGCCCTTGCTGTGATTTCAGGGTCAAGCAGGATTTTACGAACAATAACATGTTGGTTCTGCAGATAGAGCAGCCTTACAGCAGTCGTGTAATATGAACTCTGATTTTCTTTGCTGAATTGTTTCATTCCTGGCTCGAGTGGGTAAAATATGAGATTGTTCCATCGGTTTGCATTCGTATTTACAGAACAATATTTACAACTCATCATTTTTCAACCTCCTGCAGATGATACCTCCAGGGAAGGTATTAAGGAACATAGGCTCATGCAAGGTGGACAATTTCAACTGACATTTTTTGCATTGTATATCAATATTCGCTCCACCATGTGGAATGGGTGATGGTTGAACACATGTTAGATGACACTGAGAGAAAGAACACTGTGATGCTTATTTGAAGTGAGTGGTTGTGGTGATCTGTGAAGCTGTTTTGGTAAATGCTGACAACAATATGACGAACAACACCGTTGAATATTGTTTCATATTTATGTTCTGTGTATATTGTTGGAGCTCATATGAGAAAACACTGCTCTTTTACGTCTGGATATATCATGCTCTTATAACGCAACGTGAGAATGTGAGGATGCGATTATGTCTGTGTCATATTCCTTACACATGGAGAATGTCCGTTCTGAGATCTGTTGTATGTGAGAATGTGAGGATGTGATAATTTTTATTTTTCACTTCCAAAACATAGAGAATTTCCGTTCTGATATCTGATATGATACTCTAAATGTATTGTTGCTCTTTTGAACCAGATTGTTACACCAAATGTAATAATTATTTTTCAAATTTAAAACAGATTTATTAGTAGCCATCTCATCTCATATAGATTTTAATCACGTAGAACGGGGTTACAGCGTTATGTATCAGGGGAAATAAACAACAGGAGTCACAAAATCAAAACAAAGAATAGGAGCAAATAATCAAAGTGATATTTTATAAGACACGTGCACTTTACATGTATGTTAAGAGCACATGCGATGCCCAAGATGCTCTAAATGTCCTGACGCACTGAAGATACGGAACAGAAACATGTAAAATGTTGAAGAATACACTCCTTATTTAACACATAAGGAATAGGAAAATGGGAAATCTTGAAGAATGCACTCCTTATTTAACAGATAAGGAATAGGAAAATGGGAAATCTTGAAGAATACAATTACTAAAATGCACTTAGTGGGTGACGCATGACACGGAAGACAGGGCATGGGCCTAAGTAACCGGTTACCGAGACAATAATCGGAATTTGGCATTTTCACTTTGAACCACTGAAGTTTCCTGTTGTAAAACATGTACATTTGAAGCCCATTTCTGAGCGGAAATGAAAACTTGACATGAATCTCCTTGTCACTTTTTGTGATTTATTAGGTCTCCGAAATGTTTTATAGATTTGTTATTCTTAAAGTAAAGCTGTGATAAGGCGTTGTGAGCTGTGAAGTGGTTGAAAGCGCTAGGTAATTGATCATTCTTGTGCTGGTATACAAAATCCGATATTCTTCCATAGACATCGGTAATAAATCAAACTAGAATGAAAGATATTATTTGGATGTATGTGGAGACATATATGATGCTTTGTTTTGCGGTTTTGTTTTGTACAAACTATGTTATGAATATACATTTTTTTGAACTGTGTTGTCAATAAATACAATAAAATTCACCTGTGTTTTTAAGTTATTTTGATATTTTGAATTCGCGTGTAACTGCTTTTGACAGGGACATTTGGGTTTCATTCCACATTTTTGGAAATCGAACCAGGAAAAAGCGGATCTTTATATCAGCAAGGGAAACAATACCTCACAGCGATTCGCGAACCCCATCACGAATATGATAAAGATGGACATAGTCAGAGTGAGTGAGTGAGTTTAGTTTTACGCCGCACTCAGTAATATCCCAGCTTTATGGCGGCGCTCTGTAAATAATCGAGTCTGGACCAGACAATCCAGTGATCAACAGCATGAGCATCGATCTGCACAATAGGGAACCGATGACATGTGTCAACCAAGTCAGCGAGCCTGACCACCTGATACCGTTAGTCGCCTCTTAAGACAAGCATATGGGTTACTGAAGGTTCATTCCTAACCCGGACCTTCACGGGGCGTTATGTGGTATGATCGATGTAATATTCATTTTGGTCAGTGTTAAATGTGATCATGTATGGTCTGAATGAATCTTTTCGAATGAACGTTAGTCAACAATTTCTCGTTTACAAATTATCAAAACTGTAGCATGTCTTATATCCGAAACACACGCTTTATTCGAAAAGAACAAAGAACGCTATCGAATCCTTAGGCCCTGCCCTTATACGGGTATTCCCACATGCTCTGCTTCACATCGGGTCCTTTCTGCACTGTACCGGTTGAAACAGGTTATACTGTACGTACAGCTGTCAGGGTTACCATGAATAATAACGTATATCACAGTGACCCGTAAACAACACAGCTTTTCACAGCCAAACATGTATGTGGGTATATCAGTAACGATCTACACCTTCGGAGAACTGTGATACGTAAACTCATTAAAGGCACGTTCTAATCACAGGGATCAGCATTAGCCCTAGTAACCCATTCTGCTTCGTAATCAAGAGTCGTGTAAAAGGCAAAATTATCATTAGTCGATGGGTGAATGGTATGTTCTGCGACTCACATATTAACACTTGACTTACAGGGTCCCTATTCTCGAAAGGATCCTAGCCCTAGGATATTCTAACTTTGATCCTAGGGTCTAGGATAGGTGTCCTACCTTATTCTCGAAAGGTTTCCTAGCGCTAGGATATCCTAACTTAGGACAAATACTAGGATAGGTTCAGACTTGTCCTAAGCCTATCTTAGTGGAAGTCAACATGGTGTGGTTCTTGTTTGTTCACCAATGTTGACGTTGTCAAACAAAATAACTCGCCTAAATTACATTTGAATTAACGAGAGCACACAGTTTTGATGTGTTATGAAGAGTTATTTGAGTTTATATTATCAATTTATCGGTAATGAATAGACACACTTGTTGCGATGCACATATTCTTTAGATCTACAAAGGACCGCCTCCGTGGTGTAGTGGTTAGAGCGTCCGCCCGGAGAGCGGAAGGTCGCGGGTTCGATCCCCGACCGCGTCATACCAAAAGACGTTAAAATATGGTACTTGTTGGTCCCTGCCTGGCGCTCGGCATTAATGGGTACAATAAGGACTGGTCGGCTCGGAGTCAGTATAATGTGTCTGAGTGGGGTATTCATGCTTCACTGCGGCATGGTATCTCAGTGGGCTAGCACTATAAAACCAGCTTCAGTCTGGGCTAGTACAAGCAGCCGCACATACACATACACACGCATGCACGTCGTCATATGAGCGAAATATTCTCAAGCACGACGTTAAACCCAATTTCACCTCACCTTCACCTTAGATCTACAAAAAGAGATTTGTTCAGTTCTTACATATTCTCTGCCTTTTTAATCACAACATTGCTCTTTCCAGTCACATTGCCGTGAAATGTCAATGTCAAGGCAAGCTTGATAGGGGAAGTTACTCCGATCCTGTTTATTTCCTAGGTAAATTTTTCAGTTTGTGAGATAATGCATAATGAGAGTTCATATGATGATTTTCATAAAAACAAATACAATGAAAATATTTTTTGCACATATCTTTAATATCCTTATTGTATTTTGGCAGACTTTCAAACTCTGAAGTAGAAATGTTATCGCCTTGTCAAAAAATGAATTTTCAAAACTACTATATCATGTGATGAAAATATCGAATAATTTCTTCTAATTCTACTAAGTTCATCAAAAGCTGAATTTCCTCATATTATGTGTTTTTAATGAAATGAATCATGGGTAATATTTAGGGGAATCCCAAACTTAATGAGGTTTTTTCTATCTCACCTACTGAAGAGCTCGCTATCCTAGCTAGGATAGGCAGCACAAGTTAGGACAGGGATAGGGTCGTTTCGAGAATGGGTCTGATCATAACGGTAGGATGTCCTAACTTCTGTCTTAACTACTTACGATCTGTCTTAGCTGGGACACATTCGAGAATAGGGGCCCAGATTTTTTTAACGATGTATTTTTCAACTGATAACTCCATTCCACAAAGAAGCATTTTTAGGATTTGATCTCTTAGCTGGTCAAGATATCGTCTGTACGCTGACGCATAGTCATAGTAGAAGAGCTGTTTTACTGTCTTGACTTACTGTGTTGACCATACTGCACCATGGTGGTACAGCTAGCATCTCATAACCTTTACTGCTGCTGGGACAGTCTGTGGCGTAGTTGATGGTGGCGGTGATGTCAAATGTGTTCCCTGTTCATAGTGTTTATTTGTATTTTGTTTGGGTTTTTCTTGTTTGTTGTTTTTGGTTTTGTACCTTTTTGTTTTGTTCGTTTTTCTTGTTTTTGTTTTGTTTCGTTTGTTTTGGGGTGGGGGTGGGGGTGGGGTGGGTGGGGTGGGGGTGGGGTCGCTAAGAGCGGTTAACACAACTTGTAGCCATAGTCAAAAATCGTTGCAAGAACCTTTCCGGGTCAGATTCAAACAGAACTTGATTAATAACCACAAGTCACATTTTACCTTGTGCGTTTTCAGTCAGATATGAAAAAAAACACCCAAATAGCGGATGTCAGTTTCTGTGTTAATGGATTGCATTGACCCCCTGCCTGTCGTTAAGTATATAATGTCAATTTTGCAAAGGTCTCAGACCTTATGTTACTGTCCTTTGATCAACAGACTTACAATTTTGTTCATACACATATATGTCCGAAACAGACGATCTCACTATTATGCTGTGAAGCAGCCCTCTAAGCAGTTCTTAACTGAATCATATTATTACACTGACATTTCAAGATGTTTACAATACGACAGACACAAACACTGTTGGTGATTTCTTGGTGTATAGTACAGCGATGATAGTTTAGTTCGATGCGAAATTTAAAAAAAGTCTGTACAGCATTTGTTAATCTAACTGGTAGTAGGGGAGGATTGGAACCTTTTTTGTTTAAATACGTAAGTCAAATTGAAAAATACTTTTAAAGGAAACGACAAATTAGCTCATTCAGATAAACAAAAATATTAACAAGTCATTTTCTATAGCGCACAGTCTCCAAACACCAAGTGATTGCTCGCAGAGCTTAATCAGAATCTGATTATTATTACCCCGGATAACCCAAGCAGCCTGCGAGGTGCTAGAAGGTTATAGTCACATTACTCTATCCAACCGGGTACCCATTTTCTGCTGGGTGAACAGAGCCAATTTTGAACAAACTCACTTGCCTAAGGTGAGCCCACATGTGTCACGCGCGCACACACGCACACATAATGACAAATGTCATATCCTTAACACCACCCAAACGTGTGGATCGTTGGCTTATAAACAACACTCACTCACTCAACAAACAAACAACCAAACCGTCCATACATCCATCAACCAACCAGCCAACCAACCAACCAATTTTACGTGCTCAGTCATGTTGTTGTTGTTAGTTGCTTTATTTAACGTCGCATGCAAAACTAAGGTATTTCGGCGACGGAGTAGTACACTTATTAAGAAATGAGGGGGAACAAAAAATAGAAATTTTGAACGAGTGGTGTTACTACCACAAAAAAACCCAAAAAACAAACTACAAAACAACAACTGAGTATTAAGGGAAATTTGAATGGGAGGCCGAATTAAAAAGGTAAAAAATATGAAATAGGTAAAGAGTAATGGAGTCATGAAATACTGCATGTATATTTTGCAGAATTCATAACATCGCATCTCTTGTTGACATGTACATCACACCTGAGCAAGAAGCATTGTAATAATACAGTGAACTCAGCCCATCATTGATATCCCGGATAATGCAGTCCGTGGAAATGACTACGCCCGAGGAGGAGATACAAGTGTACGCGTATATTGAATCTGGAACAGCCGTAAACTGTTTTTTTAACTGTTGTGATCGCATTTAATTCGGGCAATGGAGATGACAACCCCGATCAAAATTTCCGGGGAATACGTTGAAGCGAACTGGATCATGTGAATGTAAATACATAAATTATAAAAAACTGCACCACGTCCTTCAACACGTGAGGCGAAATAGGGTTATAATTCAAGACTGTTTCGCACACACGCAGACCAGCAAATCATTATTCTAAGTAATACTTATTTAACGTAATATCCAAACTGGATGAGACGCTTTTGAATTTGGATTGAATAAGAAACAACAACACACAAAACATATTTATCCAGAAAAGCAATAATACGCATTGAAATCAGACAGACTGTATCACGTGACCCTTTTCGTTTAAGCATATTACACGGCTACGCATTCGTTTAATGGTGGTAAGTGATACTAGTTCGTGTGTGTGTTACCGTGGCGAGCTATTTATACCTCATACAGAACACTCGTAGTGGAAATTTTCCAGCAGTCAGTGAGGACCTGTTTAGAACACTGTAAATTGACATGCGCTCTCACACGTGAGCGAGTCATCGAATTGACAAATGAAACTAACTCAAAGTGCTTAAAAATACTTAATCTGTGTCACAAAATATTGTTGTTGTTGTATACGTTTGTCCATGTGAGACGCCATTGTCGGACATAGGTAAATGGTCGGATATGGACTTGAGTTACGACGGGTGGTTATAAATTTAGGAGAAAGAAAAAATGGACAACGATTGGAATGGTATATTTATATTTTAAC